GGAACGCTTATAAATTAATCAACTAAGCTCAAATTATCTATTTTTTTTTTAAAGAATTGATATTTATAATATTTTAACATTTAATTAAAATAAATTTTGACAATACAGGGATTCATCTTACTGTTTAATATACAAAACTCTAATTAATCATTAAATTTTCACAGAATTTGATATTTAAATTTGAAATAAAAATTAATTTGGATTGTAGGAATGAATTAAAACCGTGATAAATTAAAAATTTAATCAATTTCGCTAGTCGAATATTGATTGAAACTTAATTTTTAAAGTTTATTTAGTTATTTATGCTGATCAAATGAGCAACCGTAAATGACCAGTACCTATGCAATGCATATAAATTGATCAATTAAGCTCGAAATATCTAACTTTTTTTAATTAATATATATTTTTTAACAGTTTTAACATTTAATTAAAGTAAAATTTGATATTACTAGGAATTATAGAAAAAAAGTTTGATATTTTTATTTTTGATATTTTTCTGATATAATTGATATTTTTAATTTTTAATTGATATTTTTTTTTTTTTTTATTTTTTTTTTTTAATTGATATTTTTAATAATAATTGATATTTTTTAAAAACAAACAAAAACTAATTTTAGCTGCGGAAATGAATTAAATCTACGACAAATTAAAAATCTTATTAATTTTGTTTCTCAAATATTAAAAAAAGCTTAGTTATTGAAGTATATTTTCTTATTTATGTTGTCAATTGACCACACCGTAACTGACCGTTACCCATGCAATGCATAAATTTAATCAATTCACTTCAAAATAACTAATTTTTTTTTAATGAATTGATATTTTTTAATAGTTTCAATAGTTTTAATTGATATTTTAACAATTGAGTTCAAAATAATAATTGATATTTTTAATAATAATTGATATTTTTTAAAAACAAACAAAAACTAATTTTAGCTGCAAAAATGAATTAAATCTACGACAAATTAAAAATCTTATTAATTTCACCTCTCAAATATTAAAAAAAAAAAACTTAGTTATTAAAGTTTATTCTCTTATTACGTATGCAACGCATAAAATTAAATAACTGAGTTCAAAATAACTAATTTTTTTTTAACGAATTGATCAAAATAACTAATTTTAATAGTTTTAACATTTAATTAAAATCAAAATTGAAAAGAACTAGAGATTTTTTCTCCCTTTAATATACAAAAGCTCTTGCAAATTATAAAATTTTCACCAAAATCAATTTTTAGATTTGAAATAATGCTTAAGCCTAAGCCTAAATATACCCTAAGCCTAAGCCTAAGCCTAAGCATTTTTTTATTATTTAAGATGTCAAATGACCACAATGTATGTGACCAGTTCCCGCACTATGCGTATAAAATAATCAATTTTTTTTTTCATTAAATGATATTTTTTAATAGTTTTAACATCCTTTGAAATTAAATTTTGATAATAGTAGGACTTCGTATCTATTTTAGTATGAAAATACCCGTACAAATTATGGGATTTTTATAAATGTATTATTTAAATTTGAAATATAAATTAATTTTAATTGTAAGAATGAATTAAAACCGTGATAAATTAAAAATTTAATCAATTTCGCTAATCAAATATTGATAAAAACTTAATTTGCAAAGTTTATTTAATTATTTATGCTGATCAAATGACCACGATGTTGTAACCAGTATCTATGCAACGCTTATAAATTAATCAATTAAGTTCAAAATATCTATTTGTTTTAAGGAATTGAAATTTTTCAATATTTTATCATTTAATTAAAGTAAATTTTTGGTATTATTAGAATTTATGCTTTGAAATTAAATTTTGATAATAGTAGAACTTCTTAACTAGTTTTATATGCAAATACCCGTATAAATTATGGGATTTTTGTAAATGCATTATTTAAATTTGAAATATAAATTAATTTCAATTGTAGGAATGAATTAAAATCGTGAAAAATTAAAAATTTGATTAATTTTGCTAATAAAATATTGATTAAAACTTAATTTCTAAAGTTTATTTTATTATTATTGCTGGTCAAATGACCACGATTTGTGTTACCGGTACCTATGCAACGCATAAAATTCAATCAATTAATTCAATTCAACTTCTTATCAATAACTTTCTGTATAAATTAATTAAATTTAAATTATGAGAATTTTTTAGTTACACTTGACATACAATTAGTTTTTCCATTGAATCAATCACACAATGTATTTAATATTGCATTTTTTTTTTTTAATTTTATTATTTTTTGAAAAATAATTGCAACATTCTATCCTAATTTCCATTTCATAATTTGTATTTATACCAATTTAATTCTAATTTAATTAATGAAGTATTAGTATTCTTTGAATTATTTCCATAGTTTATTATTTTGTATTAATTTTTCTGTTTCTGTTTCTCTTTTTATTTGATATAGCAATATTAATAAATTTCACAAAATTTCAACTTAAAATATTGCAATTAAACTTTGTTAAGTCAAAAAAATAAATAAAGAATAGCTGAATAACATAAATCTTTCGAATTTTGGTTTTTTTTATTAAATGATTTTTTTTAATACTTTTAATATCATTTGAAATTAAATTTTGAGAATAGTAGGACTTCTTACCTAGTTTAGTATGCAAAACACCCGTACAAATTATGGGATTTTTATAAATGTATTATTTAAATTTGAAATATAAATTAATTTTAATCGTAAGAATGAATTAAAATCGTGAAAAATTAAAAATTTAATTAATTTTGCTAATAAAATATTGATTAAAACTTAATTTCTAAAGTTTATTTTATTATTAATTTATATATTTCAATATCTATTTTTTTTCAATATCAAAATATCTATTTTTTTTTAAAGAATTGATATTTTTAAATATTTTAGCATTTAATTAAAATAACTTTTTGACATTACTGGAATTTATTTTATAATTTATTATACAAAACCTTAAAAAAATATTGAATTTTGTTAAATTTTGATATTTAAATTTGGAATAAAAATTAATTTTAATTGTAAGAATGAATTAAAACCGTCACAAATTGAAAATTCAATTAATTTTGCTAATCAAATATGGGTTAAAACTTAATTATTAAAGATTATTTATATTATTCATGCTGATCAATTGACCAATTGTAAATAAAAGTACCAATGCAATGCATAAAATTTAATCAATTAAGCTCAAAATATCTAATTTTCTTTACGAATTGATATTTTTTAATAGTTTTAACATTTTAATTAAATTGAAATTTGACAACACCGGCATTTATTTCATAGTTTAATATGCAAAAACTTTTACAAATTGCACAATTTTCTTAAATTATGGTATTTAAATTTGGAAAATAAATTAATTACAATTGTAGGAATGAAATAAAACAGTGACAAACAAAGAATTTAATTAATTTTGCTAATAAAATGTTGATTAAAAGTTATTTTTTAAAGTTTTTTTTAATATTTTATGCTGACCAATTGCATAGGTACTGATCGCATACATTGTGATCATTTGAACAGCAAAAATAATAAAATCAAGTTTAGAAATTGAGTTCTGAATGATATTTTAGGAGGAAAATTAATTAAATTTTTAATTTGCCACTGTTCTAATTCATTCTTACAATTGAAATTAATTTTTATTTCAAATTTAAATATCAAATTTTATGAAAATTCAATAATTTGTCAGAGTTTTGTATATTAAACTATAAAATAAATTCTAGCAATATCAAAAACTCATTTTATTTAAATGTTAAAATATTAAAAAAAAATCAAATCATTAAAAAAATTAGATAATTTGAACTTGATTGATTAATTTATAAGCGTTGCATAGGTACTGGTTAATCACGGTGTGGTCAATTGGTCAGCATAAAATATTAAAAAAAACTTTAAAAAATAACTTTTAATCAATATTTTATTAGCAAAATTAATTAAATTCTTTGTTTGTCACGGTTTTATTTCATTCTTACAATTGCAATTAATTTATTTTCCAAATTTAAATACCATAATTTAAGAAAATTGTGCAATTTGTAAAAGTTTTTGCATATTAAACTATGAAATAAATGCCGGTGTTGTCAAATTTCAATTTAATTAAAATGTTAAAACTATTAAAAAATATCAATTCGTAAAGAAAATTTTGAGCTTAATTGATTAATTTATAAGCGTTGCATGGGTACTGGTCATTTATGGTGTGGTCAATTGGCAACATAAATAATAAAACAAACTTTAATAATTAAGCTTTAATCAATTTTTTATTAGCAAAATTAATTAAATTTTTAATTAATGACGGCTTTAATTCATTCTTACAGTTAGAATTAATTTTTATTTCTATTTTAAGTATCAAAATATAGGAAATTTGTACAATTTTGCGAAATGAATACATGTATTGTCAGAAATTATTTTAATTAAATGTTAAAATATTTATAAATATCAATTCATTAAAAAAAAAAAAATGGTTATTCTGAACTTAATTGATTAATTTGTGTGCATTGCATAGATACTGGTCGCATACATTGTGGTCATTTGGCCAGTGTAATTATTAAAATAAGTTTTAATAATTTTAAATATCAATGGACTAAATTTATCTGCCTTCTCTAAAGGAGAGGGAAGATTCACTTTATTGAAAATGAAGTGCAGATTCTCAACACTGTTGATCCTTGCATTAACTTTGACCTTTACAATGAGTTTCTCTTTTATGTATGGTTGAATAAACTCAGTAAATTTCCTGCATGTTCCAATCATTCTTTCCGTTGAGTTTCACACATGATTGTACCTTGTAAATGAGCTACTTATAGACATTTTTGATAAATTTGATGACCACCGAACCAAAAGTAAAACTAAACCATAACAGAAATCAGATATAGGTGCTGATAAGAAGTATGCATGGTGTGACGTAAAACCTATTTGCTGCAAGCATAATGAGCCAAGTTCAATCTGCTTTGAGTAGTAATCTTCTGTGTATTAGTAACCTTGTCTTTCTTCTGTTTTTCAATTATTCTATCTATATTGTCGCTGAAAAATTTGCCTAACTTAGGAAATATTTCTTTTGCTGCGATTTTATAGAAACTACTGCACGAATGAGTTTGACTAAGTCAGCAAAAAAAAAAAAAAAAAAAAAAAAAAAGTTCTTTTAGTTTTTCTAAGCTACTGGGTTCAGATTGAGATAGCCTCCGTAAATTTTGGCACTCAGTTTTAACTTTGGACAAAGGATTTTACGGTCAATGGAAATAGCACTGTTGCTTTTATGCATCCTCTCTATTAACTTTAGCTGTCAACTATCACCTTTCTTTTTGTTACTAGGAGTACGTGTTTATGCTAATGATTCTTTTATTATATTGTGGGAGATAGTCTCATGTCTAATTTCTTCTAGAAGACCCATTTGTTCAACTTTATCTTCTACGTTTAGTTGACTCTGATCTAGTACTTATAGCGTATTCTCAGTATTCTTCAATCTATGTAATACTTTTTATAGAAACTTGTAAAATTTCGTATTTGTTCATTTTTTTTTTAGAAAATATCTGTTTAATATCGTAACAGATTAATAATAATGTTAAAAGTATATTTACTTAAAGCACAATAAAAAATTGTGCCTTTACCGGATTTTTCTACTGAAAATCTAGCATTTTATTAGAAAATTAAATTGTAAGACTGTAGAAAAGGTATTCAGTGTTTATTTTTCTTGACTGTAATGCAATATAGAGAGATTATTAAGTACTAAAATTAAAGTTACGCACTATTTAAAATTTATGGAGGTTTCGTAATGCACTGCTTAGACCTGGTTGTTTTGATCCACACATTACTATTTGTTTGCCCGATATAAAGAAGATATTTAATACATATATAAAGAAGATATCAATAGCACCAGTGAAGACAGTTGCGAGAGGGACACCTGGTTTTGGGGGGGAGAAGGGGAGGGGGTAGTGACCTAGTAAATTTAGTGAATGAAAGAGCAGAAATAAGAAGACTGTTACTATGGGTAGCTTTGAATATGCACGTAATGATGGGCTGGAAAGACGGTCTCTAGTGACGACTCTGAGAGGATCCGAATACCAAAAGCTATTGTGCAACAGTCGAACTCAGAGTCTTCAAATGGCAAACTTTCTGCGTTTGCACACACCCAATTAAAATTAAGCTGATTTGAGTTTATGGCTTTATTACGTCCTCTACTTAGCATGTTTTGATTTATATCACATACTGTAACCTGAACACTCGGTTCTCTTCTTACTATTCTTATTGCTATGTCTCCCAATTTTGACGACTTGGTGTCTTTGCCAGGAGTTGGAAGAAAGAGTGCTAATGTATTTTTAAATTCGGGACTTGGCATTCCAACATTGGCAGTTGATACTCATGTTTTTAGAGTGAGCAATAAAATTGGCCTTGTGAAAGAAAAAGACGTGTTCAAAACAGAGAAATCTCTTTTAAATGTAGTTCCAAAAAAATACCTACTCTATGCTCATCACTGGCTAGTTTTACATGGTAGATATGTTTGCAAAGCACAAAAACCCTCGTGTAAAACATGCATCCTGTTGATAATTCAAGCCAGCCAATAGCATACTCCCCATTTTGTTTAACTATGGACGCAAGATCATTGCTGTTTTTATCCTCTAATAGCGAATCTTCAACAATTGTTCCTGGAGTTACAATTTGCACTACATCACGTTTTACTATAGATTTATAGCCCCTGCTTTTTGCTTCATCAGCAGTTTCTAACTGATCGCAGATTGCTACTTTGAATCCTAAATCTATTAACTTATGAAGATAAGATTCACTACTATGCGCTGGAACTCCACACATTGGTACCTCTTGCCCATACAAATTACCTCTCTTAGTTAGTACTATATTCAGCAACTTCGCAGCTTTAATAGCATCATCAAAAAACAACTCATAAAAATCTCCCAGCCTATAAAATAACAGATGATCCTGATATTGAGCTTTTAGGTTCAAATATTGCTCCATCAAAGGAGTATTTTTTTCTCTTACGAAGTTCATAACATTTTTAAATACGTTGCGTTAGCAATAGCTTCAACTTTATTATATGGATAACATAGAATTTACATAGGAATACTTTATACTATGCAAAGGCAATACTACTATTTTTTTAGAAAATTGTGCATATGCAATAGATCTGTGGTAGCCTCTTCTATAAGCCATAACTTATAACTAAAATTATATAGAATTTTGGCTTTTTGAAAAGCCCAAACTGCCATTTGCGGAAGGTATACATGTAATCTTTTTGCCAAATTGAATCACAGCGTAGAAATAGCAACCAGAGAAAAAAAACAGAAACCCTTGCCTATTTCTATCTTTGGGCCAAAATTCCCTATTTTATTGTGAAATGGTGTACCTTTGAATTGTATAGCAAACTGAAAATACTTTTTTAATATTTTTATCAACAAATTAAGTAATTTACATATTATTCGCTAGTAGACAAAATTGTTCAACAGTTAAGTTTTTTTGGACGCTCCCCTATTAACTCTGGCGATTTAAATCACCGAAGTTACATGCTATATCGTAGTCATAGCCAATCTTCATCTCACTTCCCTCTCCAGCGACAACAGAGACCTGATTAGCAAAGGTTGATTTACTAAATGAGCCGATAAAACCAGAAACAGTAGAAGGAATTCAATATTTGCAATGAAAGACACCCAGTTGTTGAAGTTAACGATAAGTTCATTGCAAATAGCATCAATTTGTCTGGTATACATCTAATTACTGGCCCTAATATGGCTGAAAAAAGCCACTTTCTTGAGGCAAAACGCTCTCATTGCAATTTTAGTTTCATATGGATTCATTTGTGCCAGCAGATAGTGCACATATTGGAGTGAATGATAAGATATTCAGCAGGGTTGGCGCAACGGATAATATAAAGGCTGGTTATTCCACCTTCATGGTGGAGATGATTGAAACAGCAACCATAGTCAACCAAGCAACAGACCGTTCCTTGGTAATACTTGATGAAATTGGTAGAGGAACAGGAGTGTATGATGGCTTATCTATTGCTCAGGCGGTAATTTGAACATATTCACAATGTAAATAAGTGCCGCGCTATCTCTGCAACTCATTATACTAAAGTAAGCAAATACTTGAAAAGTGTCAAGTGTTTCTGTGTGAGAATAAAAGAATGGAAAGAGGAGGTGATCTTTCTACATGAAGTAGTTGAGGGCGTTGCAGATGAGTCATATGGAACACTCGATGCTAGTACACATAGGGAAGCATTATTGCTGCTTAAGGAAAGCTCCAATGATTTGATATATAAACACAAAGTTATGAAACAAGCATTCTCTTCTTCAGCGGACAATCGTAGTTTTTAGTCAGAGCAAATTGAACATTGAAAATTATTTACTAAAAAAAAAAAAAATAAAATTGATGTGGAAAACGAATGAATTACTTTGCGAAGTGTTAAAGTAAGTTTAATTGAAAAGATAAATAAAATAATCTCTAATATGGTAATAACTACAGCCAGTGCAGTAGCAGAGGTTGAACGAATGTCTATTTTGTTGAGCCAAGTAAAGCATGAAACTCTTACTAACAATGCAAGTTCTAAACGAGCATAACCCCATTCTAATGCACCTTTACACCACTCATGGATAAAACCTACAGTAAGTATTGCAAGAAATATCATCATAGACCAAAATCCACAATAGCTTATTTTAGATAAAGAAATAGCGCAAGGAAAAAGAGAAGCAATTTCTAAGTCAAATATCATAAATTAATACTGAAACTAAATAAACTTAATGTCAAAATTTTTTCTTGCTCTTGATAAAGGGTTAAAACCGCACTCATATGTTAGAAAGTTTTTCACTATCTGGTTTGCTTATTGCAAGAAACATAGGCAATACACCCAAAGCAAGAGATAGTATAATTGACACGCAGATAAAAATTGCTATAGCTAAATATTCACTCATTTAATAAAACTCGTAGAAAGCAACACTACAAATTTACATGCTTTCCTAATCTTTTATCACCTAAAATATCCATATGAAAGTGCGGCACAACTTGTTCCCCGTTTCACCGCAGTTAGTAACTAATCTATATCCTGTTTTTTCTAGGTTATATTTATAAGTTATCTCTCTCTTACAGTTTTAAAGAAGCCTACTATTTCCTCCGCAGAAGCTTTAAAAATAAAATCATCATATGAAATATATTGACTTTTCGTTACAACTAAAATGTGAAATGGTGCATCAGATACTTATCGTAAAATGCCAAGACATCCTCATCCTCATAAACCTTCTTGCAACTCACCCCTTAATATTTGAGCAAAGATGTTATTGCTATCATAGTATTTATTGCACATGCTTTAGAGCACGACCACCTTTTTCTCTTCCTGGGTTCAGAATAGGTGTAGATGAAGGGGCTCTCCATTTTACTGTTAGAGACATCTCCTTCAAAGCGTAGCCTTCTGCCCTTTATGTCCCCTACCAGATGTTTTACCTTTACCACAACCAATACCTCTAACTATTAATTTAGGCTTTTTTTTCTTCAATAATTCAGTAAATATAGAGTTTAACTTTATAACATTATTCATACTTTACCTGTTTCCGACTACCTCGCCAATCTTTTTACTTCTTTTGCTCGCTACTTGACGAGGAGATAACATATTATCAAAGACCATAGTACATATAATACTGCACATATAACGATTTTATGAGGATTAATTCGATCTAGTAGATTAGCTATTACATTTTTATGCCCAACACCTCAAAAACCGACCCAATCGATCCCCCCAGCAAAATGCCTGTTCCAGCTCTAGCTTGCTCTTAAACTATTTCACCAGAGGCAAAATTTAGCTTAAATCATGGTGAAAGTTCTTACCTTCACAGTAATATCACCTAATCAGCCGATTTTTTTGCGAGATTTACAAACTGTTTATCCTCCTATAGGAGAAATTAATGCCACCCAAGCATTACTTATATAATCTCTTTTACGTTTCATATTATTAGTTTTTTCGCAGCGTGGTTGAACATAATCACTATTTTCTTTTGGTATTGTTATCGTTAACTGTTAAAATTCTTTTCTGAGAAAGGCAGCTATACAAGCAGTGTGGTCCAGTAAATCTCAGCTCAAATATTTAAGGAATCCACAAGTAAGAAAAAGACAAAGAGCCTAACCTGATAATATTCTATTTAAAAACACTAGGCGTTTTTATGTTTAAATACTTTAATAATCGCGGACTTATTGGGTTTTATGTGAACTACCTTTTAGTATAAAGTGTTTAGAAGATTTTACTAGGCAAAAAAGGCCAAAAAGTGATATTGTGGTAGAGTAGTATTTATTTCTTATCCTGTTAAATTGGCATATTATACTCCTAATACGCTTTTTATTAAGCGGTTTCAACTTATATTAGGGTAAAAATTTAGAAATATTGTGAAGACATAAG